ATATACACATATATATATAAAAATAAAAATACTTCCTGGTCCTTCTTTTTTTAGCAGTTCTCGAATGAATCAGTCTGAGCTTTCTGATATTGAGTACCAAAGAATGTTTAAAAAGAGAGATTGCCATATGTTTTCTGTACTAGAAACTTCTGTTACTGGTGACTTAAGCTAATGCTACTGAATTTGAAAATAAAATTTCAATTAAAAAACAGAGAAGAATATCCATACTTTTATTTTGGTAGCAAATGCTTCATACTTGCACGTCTGACTTGTTCTTAAGCAGCTGGCAAGAGCATCTTCATTTCATGTGCTTGCAGTACTGACAGAACAAAACAGAAGTATTGAAAAAATGCATTTGCCATTTTTATTCACAAGGTCTGTCAAAATTGGATCTTTTTGTAAACATGAGGCCCCTCCCATGAACTCTTAGGTGAATTTTAAGAAAGTTTGCTTCTCTTTGCGTCTTGTGAAACATTGGCATACCCAGCTGGGCATAGAAGATGTCAGCTGAAACCTCAGTGAGTCTGGCAGAGCAGAAACTCAAACCCAGCTCCCTGCCACATTCCTACTGAGAACTTTTTGGAGACTTGATATCTTCTGTGGTTTTTTCACATTTTTTTTCATAGAGGCTTTGGTTCCATTCTAGTATGGAACCAAATATCAATGTATAGAGTAAATATCAATGGTTTGTGAATTGAAAAAGTTCAATCCTGGCTTCCTAAAATATCAGAAATATGTCTTTACTAAAAAATATATAATCTTTACTAAAAAAAGTAGTCTGCTTCAGACAGTAAGATTGAATGATTCCAGGAAAAAGTCATATTGTGTGCTGCTTTCAAGAACATGGAGGAAAATAAATAGAGATCTTAATCCATAACACCTTTATGATGAAATAGCATTACTAAGTGTTGCTGCCCCAAGAAAAGTTCTTGGTTAGTGCTGAGGCGCAAGGGCTGTCTTGTGTTCAGAATTGAAGAAGGTAGAATTAACCTTAATGGTTGGTTATAAAGGTCTTGCTTCAGAATCACTGGAGTAATTTGAGGGCAGAGTTTGATTCCAAGTGAGGGATAGCTCAACTATATGTAGGAATAATGCGCAGTTTATAAACTGCGTGTTAGTAACAGTGCCACAACAACATTACAATAAAGATTTTGCATGGTAGTTGCTATTGAGCATGTTTCAGTCAAGGTTCATGTTTTATTATGATTGATGATTATTAACTGCTTAATAAAGTGCAGTTTGAAGGGCTTTGTTTGTTTATTTGTTTTCCCCCCGAGAGAAAAGGTTTGCCAGAACACGTTTCCCTCTTTTCTGATTTGTGCTGAACAGAAAGCTTTATTTTTAAAAGCAACCTTAATTTCATATCTAAAAGCAATTCCTGGTTTGTATTTTGCATCCAGTTATGTCTGTTGCTGCTTTTGGCCCACAGGAAGCCCAAATAAATAGTGGAAAAGCAGAAACATTCATTAATATTGGAAAAAAAAAAAATCAAGTTACAGCCATGTTTTGTTTGGCAGTAAGCCCTGTGGAAGTAGCCACCCATGGAGATTATTAGTACTCCTGACCTGGATAGTTTACTTAATAAAGAGTTTAAAATAACAAAAAATAGAACAGTGAAGCCTTCAGTGGACAAGCTAATACCTTTTTTAAGCCCTAAATCTTCATATAGTGTTTCAGTTGCAATGAGCACAACCAGGTCTGAAATATGCTGAGTGGCCAAGTTGTAGAAACAGTGAAAGAGTGATGGTTACTTGAAAGTGCCCCCACCTGTCCTAGTTTTAAATGATAACATGATTTTCAGCAAATGGGTGCAGCTGGGGAAGAATAACACACTCAACTTGAGTTTATATAAGTTTATGGTGCGTATTTCAGTGGCCAAATCTCTCTAAATTGTTTTTTAAAAAATATGAGAATTTTTTAAAAGTTCAGTCTTACGTAAATGTATCTAATTCAATATTGGTTTATGAAAAAAAAGTTCATTAATTGGAGGAATAAGCTGTAGTCTTCTGGGTACTCCTAAGACTCTGTGTTATAAGAAGCTGTCATTTACTGCTTTTATTCTCTGAAACTGGTCCAGTCTGTATATGGGTAGTTGATTTCTGCTGCTACTACTGCCTGCTCTACATTTCTTCCTTTATCTCATTTAACATTTCCTGATAACTATCATATTGATGATCAGCAGTATACTACAAATACTGCATTTCTAACAAAAAAATGTGGGATTTGCCCTCAGCAGTTTTTTTCTGTAACATTTTTATACTGTTATGCTTTGTGTTATCCTTCAAATACCTTGCCAGTCCTCCACCTGCATGACTGACATTTTTTTTACTTCTTTAAGATTGGAGACAGGCAGTGTTGGACTGCCAGGGAATGTACCATCGAGAGCCTAGTTTTCTGCTTAGCAAGAAGTTCTGGAGGCTAAATTCAGTTTACACATCCTTGTGTCATTGTTTCCAATGTAGATCACCACTACTGACTCAATTCTCTGGACTCTCAAATAAACTATCCAACTATCTAGGAGGATCTTCCTTTTCACCTTGCCCAGGACAGTCCCCCTGGACATCTGTGCTCCCCAATAGAATCCCTCTCTGTCATCATCTGCTTCCTGCTCTCCCGAATCCTAACCTAAGTATTTGTTATTTTTAAAGGAGTTCCTACAGTGGGAACCACAGCAATCAAGGAGGAAAATACTCTTACTACGGATACAGATTCTGTGCGTGCTGAAGGTGCTGTTGAAGCAAATGAAAATTTTCACCAAAAAGAACAAAAACGCACATTGCAGTCTCTTTTCTCATTGCTCCGTGAAGAAGTTGAGCAGATGGATTCAAAGATACTGCCCCTGTGTCTCCATCAGGTACTTCCTATGATTCTGAGGACTTGCACACTGTTTTTATTTGAGGCCTTTATTCGTTAGAAAAAAATGCATTCATTCAGTACATGCCAATTTTCCTATCTGGACAGAGTATTTCGATTGTATAACAGGTGATCACAGCAGATTATCTCCTCTAAGGTCTTCTAATATATGGTAAATCATAAATTGCCCTGAAAGTATATTCTGCAGTTAAAGGAAACTCTTAAGAGTTTAAGATGGGTTTTCCAATTCCACAAGGATGAAATTCTAGTTTGGCTGGTAGATTAGGAAGATCACTCTTTGACATACCTTAAATACAGTTTGTAAGACACTGGTAGAGATACAAGACCGCTGATATCTAAATAACATTTTAAATCTTGAATTGTTGTTGTTGTTACAGACTTTTCTAGCATGAAGTTCATGCATGAATGCTAAGATTCAAGGTTTCTTAGTGTTTGGGGGTTTTTGGGGGTTTTTTTTTGTAACATAGTTGCCACACACTTTCCTTTTGCAAGACCAAAGGAAATAATGTGTGATTTTAAAATCAATCTTTTTTACTAACTGGCCAGTATGGTTTTCTTTGTGGAGATTATGATGCAAGATGAATATGTTGATAGGACTTGGTGCAGTATTAATTTATAGTTTAGCTATGTCACACTAACAGTGAACTAGAAGATACTTTGTTTGGCTGTAGTGTCTAATGCGGGCTATATAAATAGATACTATACAGTGTCTGATTTTACTTAGTTGCATTATCTTTACTGTAGAAAATTGGATGATTGTGATATTTTAAACTCCTAAACTGCAATGACACTCCTACATTCTTATTATCTTCGATATAAATAAGTCGTTATATTTGCAAAAGAGGTCTCTTTTTAGTATTGCAAATTACACACAATTTACATCTGACCTAGAATTTTACATTATTTTGTTTAATCTGTGTTTGAGTGAAGATATTTGATACCATTCCTTCATTTATTTGAAACTTAGCATTAGGGTTAACCATTTACACCTTTAGCCACACCAAATTTGGTGGTTGCTCATGAGTCAATACAAAGGTCAGTTTTGAAAAATAACACAGGGCAAAAACTTTACAGACATGAAGGAATGTCATCAAACACGATGGAGGTGAAACCTGTCCAATGCTTTTTGGGTGAGGAAGCCAAACCCTAAGGGTAATAACCTTTTGAAAGTCATACAGGAACTGTGACAGAACTGAGAACAGAATCTGCATTTCCAGATTTAAATGTAATGAAGCACCATTTCTTTTTTCCTAAGAAATATCAAGCATTTGAATGGAGTGTTTGAAAGAAACAGAACTTACAAGGATCATAACACACTTTTTAAACTGGGGAAAAAAATAAAAGAGTTTAAAGATAGGATTCATGTCTTCATGTAAAGTGAGGCTATTAAGAATGTTTTTTCCTTTTCCAGCAAATTAACCTGACATCTTCAGCCTTTTTTTCAGATAGTTAATACAGCCTGGCATTAACTTTCTTTTATGCCAAGCCTAGCAAATACTCTTCTACTCTTCTACTTTAAAGAGCTGTGTCAGATGTTCTGGAGTATTAACAATCCGTATTGTTAGTGGAAAGCCTGTATTGAATATTTTAAGCTGTGGGATATTAGAGGCTGTTCTAAGGGTTAACTTTTAATTTAAATAAGATACCATTTTTTCCTGCCTTGAGTGGGATTCATGTGATTTGTTTAGCGTTTGTTACAGAATCTTAGAAGTACTTGTATTTAAAACATAAATGCAGAACTTTAGCAGCTCCAGAAATACTTAGGAGACTACTGTGGATAGCAGACTAAAGGCACAGAAATTCTTTATTAAGACAATAAAAGACAGTGAAATACAGAAGTTCTTTATAAAGAATCCTAGAAGTCACTTACCAATTCTGTTTTGGAGGTACTGGACTCAGAATGGTCTAGTGGTTAGTGATAAGGCTGAGAGCCAGGAACACACAACTTGTAATCTAGACTCCTCTATCAAGTTGCTGTCTTTTTTGAGCACTCATTCTTAGACTTTTACAAAAGTGCCCACTTGTTAAGTCCTTCAAGCCCTTCATGAAAACACAAATCTCAAAATCTTTGGGATATTTCAACTATGAGGGCCTAAATTGAAATACCCCAAAGATTTTGAGATTGAATATTTGTGTGCTGCCACCGAAGTCATTGGCGTATCAGCTGTGCGGTGTCTCAACCTGAATGTTCATGTATCAGGGTACCTACAAGTACTGGACACATTTTGCAAGCATGGCCCTTGGCACAGTGTGCATGCCAAATAGGAAGACTGGCAGTGTTTGCTGTCCCTCAAGATTGATTAGTTTATGCTTGTAAAGGTCACCAATGCTGTAAAGTTCTGTGGAACAAAATATTTTTACTGCTGAAGTTTATATATTTTATTACAAACATTATTACAAGCAAATCCATCAATATTCTTCGGTTTTCCAGGAAAGCCTGCCCAGTTTTTTAGCAAGCACAAATAAGCTTTTGTTGCAAATCTCAAAGATTATTTGTATACAGGAAGGAATTGGAAAGAAAACATTTAGGTTACCACATTAGCCTTTCTAAACAGTGTTACACCTTCTCCTTTGCAGGCATCAGCTCTATCTTTTCTGTTATACTCCCCACTACCAACTCAGAGTCCAAGTGAAATTCGCTTTCTGATTAAAAGGCACTCATTTTCTGTCTTTGGATACTTGCTTTCTCTGACCTGGTTGCAGGGACTCTAGTACAATGGTGACTTTAGCCTTTTATTCCAAGAAATAATCCTTTATGTGAGTTGGAGCGGGGCGGGGTGGGGAGAGGGGGAACCAAACAAACAACTGTCCTCCCCAAATCCTGAGACCTTTACTTGATGAAGAGAAAAAGAAGAAGTACTTCTAACTGGCATCTTGATACTTCCTCTGGAAGTTCTACCACTTCCATGCTTTTAATTTTGGCTTCGACATAGCTGGTTGAAAGCCAAGGCATCACTAGAAAGAGGATAGGAAAGCTATTTCTGTAGTCTGCAGTTAAAATATGTAGCTCTGATATAGCAATAACTTGGTATACTGGAATGTAATTTTCTCTTACGTTTCCATGACTCTGTTCTTGGTTTATACATAGCCTCTCGTTGTATAAACCCTTGGTCATCATGTATTTACTGTTACTTTTTGCTGTGATCTGTTAAAGATAGGTATAATAAAATTACCCAGCCAGAGTGAAGTTGTTTTTAAGATGTTGGAGCTAGATATCTTGAATGCTTAGGCGTAGAGATCCCTTGTTCAATTCCTAGCCATTGGCTAAGATAGCAGATGTTACAGCAGCATTTAATATGAGCTTACGCATTTTGTTAAGCTAGAAGTACCAGAGATTGTATTAGGTGTTCAAGTGTTTTGTATGTAGCCTGCCTTATGTTTGATTTTCCTGCTCCTTAGTAACTACTCTGGAATGATTTTTTTCTCTATATTAAACCTCCTTAGCACTTTGAGCTTTAAATGCAGTGGCACAAGTTTGCTTATTTCTTGTGTCAGTTCTCTGGTATTTCTTTGTTTTGACATATCTATATTAACATCCATCTAAGAGAACAAGTCTTGAAGAGTTGTTGTGATTCTTAGGTTTGTATTTTTTTTTTCCTATGGTCTTCTTTGGCAGAGCTGTCTTCTTACACATCCAATTTTAATTGTTCTGTTATAGAAATGCCAATCTAAAGGAGGAAGAGCCACAGATTTGTTCCATGTCATAACAACTACAGTGCAAATCAAAGAATTGCCATCTGGCTTAACTCCATGACTTGCTCTATTGTTGAAGAGCTTCAGATATCAAGATGTTAGGCTTAGTGAACTGACACATGGGGTAGAGGATCTTTAAAATTTTTTAACGCAGCAGAGTAGCTTCAGGAAAGGAAGTGGCAGAAGGCTGCTGCAGTGCTGTTGTCTGGCTTCTGCAGGTGGTCTAAGAGTAATACAGAATGAAATTAAGAACTTGAGTCCGTTTGTGTTTATCTCATGAATTTCAAATATTCATACTATATCAAATTCTATGTACTTGAAATATTTTTTGTAATCATTTATAGTAAACAGGATACAAGCAGGAAGGTCACTGTATGTCTCTGATGCTGTGATAGGCAGTGTTTTTGGAGTCTTTTGTCCAAAAATTGTTCTTTTCTCATAAGTCAGGAAACCTCAATTTCTCTATTTTATAACAAGGCTCAGGAGAACTCATTAATGATCTTAATTTGGTCAAACATAAGGAAACAATGGTTTATAACAGAATTCAAATTCTTCAACTCATATCAGTAAACACAGTGCTTCTAGGAAATTTTAAAACTTTCTAATATGATAATTTAAAAAGTTTCTGAAATAGTTTTTTGTTGTTGTAACAACGTAAGACCCAACTAACATTTGAGCAATTCCACTAGTGTGGTAACACTTAGTATTTCTTTGTTTGAGATTCTTTCTAAACGTCCTTCCTAGAATAAGAATGTGTATTTACCCTGAACGTTAGTATTTTATCCAAACCATGAACCTGCAAAACAGATGTTTATAATAAAAAGTTCATATTACATCGTTACCATTCTCATGAAAATTATAGAATTCTGATTATTTTTTTTTTTATTTTTGCAGATAGCTGAGACCTATTTTCAAGAGGAGGAATGTATCCTTTCATTTGTTGAAATTGTTACCCAATATTAAAATAATCTGGCATGATAAAATGTAAAAGACAAATGCTTTATCGTTGGCTCACAAGTTGTGGGTCAAGATTAATAAGAAGTGAACAGTCGTAATTTACCCATGAGTGAATATACAATATGTTAGCAAGTCCTTCTTAATCAAACAGCTGGAATATGAATTAAGTAATAAATCCACTTCCAAAAGCTGTACTGATACAATCATTAGTAGCTGTGCACAAACAAGGAAGTAAGAAAATATTTTCAGAGAACTTCTGTTTTTATAGGAGAAGTTCTGTTCTAAGTATTAGTAACTGGGAATATGTCCAATCTAGGTAGGGTATGTATTCTCTTATATCAAATAGGGCACAGTTATAGTAAGAACAAAATTATCACAACAGTTGATTAGAATATGTACTACAAGTGTCTAGATTACAATAAAAATACCAAACACACTGAGCTAAGGGAGATCAGCAACCTGAAACAACAGCAATACGTTATTTGGCAAATGATAATTAGTCAAAATCATATCAAGGTATCTTGAGAAACTGTTGTAGGAAAGTACGGGTAATAGCTTCTGGGAACAGCTAGTTCAATGGTCCAGTTTATTTTGATTTGTTCCCAGATAATAAAAATAAGTTTGGTCAAGAAGTTATAACAGCTGAATTGCTGCAAATTTCTCATATTTTTCAGTAGTTGTGGGAAAGATTAATCATATTAAACCATAGAATGAAATTACATTTTTGGGAAAGGTGGACTTGGTTTTCCTCTGTTTGCTTTTACGGGAAAGTGATTGGACTATAAAAAGAAGAGGTGAGAGTGGTAAGCCCTTAAGGTATATGTGATTCTCTAAGATGCATCATAAATTACAGAATTTGTGCATACAGATTATTATGTAATTTGTTACAAGCGAAATACAGCAAATAGGCAATTGTAAAGGTTAAATAACAAAGTATATGAAACCTACAAAGGTATCCTCAAAATCTAGCCAAATTCTGTTAGCCTGTAGTACAAAACTAGAGAAATAACTCTGGTGGTAGTATAAAAGCAATATGTAAAATAAAATACCCTTCACTGTCTTAGAAGACTGTCTTGGCCATCCTAATTCAAAAGCATCCAGCAGAAAGTGCAAAATACACAGCACCAATTAAAGGCGTGGAAAAATCTGTAGTAAATTATAGCTCTGCATGGGGAAATACAGTAAATTTAAAATGCATTCAGCAGTGTGATAGAAAGACAGTTTCTCTTTCATAGAAGTTGCTTTAATCAAAGAGCATTATTTAAAGCTGATCAAAGGGAATATTTTTAATGCAATGTACACCTGCAGTGTGGAATTCAACACCACTATATAATACATATTTATGAAGGATATCTCCTCTGTACTTGCAACCATCAGTTTCCTGAGGTTAACAAAGAACTTGGTCATGTTGCACTGTATTAATTATCCATGACAGACATATTAATTCATCTAGTGTAGAACTTAACAATAATTCAGGGTTTGTCGCTCTGATCCTTTAAGGCTATCTCTCTGATCTGTAATTCTGTTTCTAATAACAGATTTCTTGAAGGCAAGGAATATTCTTTCCATTAATATTGTTGTTCATAAGCCATGGTATGTATGAGACTAACAAGAACAGCAAGTACTGGTTGTGGTTTTGTAATAACTACTCGAGTGTTTTAATGAGCATGAATAATGGAAAATTTTTTTTCTATATTACTGAGAACCTGATTCACTGTACTTCTATCCTCATTGTACTATAGAATTAAATTCCAAATAGCTGGCAAAACAGCTTTGGACAGAGCAACCAGCAACTCCAGTTGATGGAACTAGAGTTATCCTGACTATTGCAAAATACATAACTACCAGTATGCTGTTGTGAATATATTGATAACCCTAAAGGAGGG